GTAATTGTATCTCTCCTCTCTCTTCTCTCTCTCTCTCTCTCTCTCTCTCTCTTTTTGGAACGAGAATCGAACGAACAATCCGCAAAAGCACAAGAGTTGTTTCATTGAATAAGGATTAGATTTAATATTATTTATTCAACTTATCAAACTGGAAAACCAAGGATCATCTTTAAGGGATGATCTCTCAATGCGGTCTCAAGCGATTAATTTACCTCGAGATCGAGGAAGATTAAAAAAAGAGACAAAGTCGGGGAGGGGGAGTTCGTTCGTTCGTTCCATACGTCGGGCGCGTCGATCCAATTCAATATTGGGAAGTAGAGTCACGAGACACGGATGGATCCACTTTCCTTCCTTCTTTCCTCGAATTTCCTTTGTGCCTCGGATATCTCTGTGCTCCTTCGATCGATTTCGAAACCGTTTTCGCCCTAACGAGCGGCTTTAATTTCTGCCCTGTTTCCGCGTCATTTGGCCGGGAGAAGAAGGGGCTGGATGAAAATCACGACAGGCTGACACAAATCTTCCGGCTCGTACAAATCTTCATTCGGTTATCCGCCTGGCTGGCTCCCTTCGTTCTTTCTCCATTTCTCTCCTTCCCTCCTCTTTTTCATTTTATTTTTAGACCACCCCTTCTCCTCCTCCTTCACCCCCTCCTTTCCCTTCTCGCATTTCTCGAATCGATTCTCGAATAGGTTTGTTCATCGATTCAAACGAAATTTCATCGCAGCTAGTCGATTCGACGAAGTTAAAATAAGATATCGTTATTTTGAGACCAGTTCTCGAAATCGAGGAAAGTGGCTCAAAGTGAAGTATCGGTGATTAGACGAAAAAGGAAAGAAAGAAACGACGTTTGATTTCGTACGCGATCTTATAATATACGTAGTCACGCTGCAAACAATCAAGCTTTGATCCCTGTGCTGACTCGACCCAGATGTCGATCACGATCCATTTGCCTCCTCGCCAAGGGTAACAAACTGGCCCCTCCTCACTGTCCCTCCCCTTCCTCCCATCCTGATTGCCGACCTTCCGACCATAATATACCGTAAAGACGTATCGTGAACGTATGCCGTCGGATACGATCGAACATGATTTTCCGGTTAAGTGTATCGGGGAAAATGAAATCGACGGGCCCGATTGATCCATCAAATAGCTCAGAAAATTGGAATTTTCCGCTGAAAAGAGAGATCAGGGGGAGGGAGGGGCGTATTTTTATTTATTCCTCGCTCGATCGATCGATCTCTACTTTTTGCCGCTGCTCAAAAAAAGGAAAAAAATCTCCAAACTCCTACGGAGAAAGGAGAAGAAGAAAGAGCTTGTCCCAAGTATAGCTTATCCCTTCCCTCCTTGTAATTTTCCAAAGACTGCCAGACAGAAAAGATCCCAGAAGCCTACCTGTCCCCCGACGAATAGGATAGACATCATGAGAGCCATCCATCTTGAAAAACGATAACCAGCTCCGGTGTTGCACCGTCTTATCATCGGTCGAGGACTGTCTCGAGCTAATATTATTTCACACGCTCAGGGGGGGGAGGGACAGGGAGATGGGGGCCAGCCTGTTGAAAAAGATTTCGCGAGGAAGCTCAGTCAGTACTGCGCGTTAGATCGTCCATCATCTTGTCCATCATTTTTGAACGCGGTTCTGAAACGAGATGTTCTGTCGAGATTTCTTCTTCTTTGTTGCCTCTCGAGCGTTTATCCATCGACGTGCCCCTCGATTCGCGGCAAATTAAATCCGTCTCTTCATGAGTTCTTCATTTGTTGTACGGATAGATACGTACGTGGTTAAATACGAAATTTCAATCGTGAAAATAATCTTTTCTTGGGATGAGGATGCCAGGATTTTCAGAGTCTCTTGGGATAATGAAAATAGTTGGAAGAAATGGCGATCAAGGGATTGCAGAGGTGGCCATCAATTTTGTGGACTCTCGTGCCTGGTTCAGGATGTATTCTTTTGTGTAAGAGCAAGTTTGAGGTGTACAATTTGAAAAATATTAAAGTAAAATTTAATAGTTGAAATTTTTCAACTAGTTTTTAACTCGGTGTCCAACCCTGTCCAACATCGAGACACGCACACCTAGTTCAACAAAAAAGAATCGGATTCAGTTCGACCGATCTCGAATCAAAACTGAGCCTGGCGAATCCAACCGTGTCTTCTCCGCCTCTGGCCAACAGCGCGAAGACAATTATTATTATTCCAAACCAAGGCAGTTGAACAAACTACCACTCGTGGAAACTCCCAAAAGACCAATTAACCCCCTGAGAGACCTGTCACGAAATCCATTGTCCATCTAACTGGCCGGCAACGTCCAAGAACATGGCCCTGTTAGTCTGTCGTCGAGCAAATTGTCAAGCAAGCGGAGCGTGCCGCGTGTTTGTCCTGCAATTAATGCGAGCCGCGCGAATCCTCGAGAGCAAATAACCGGAGGGAGGCAGAGAGAGAGAAAGAGAGAGAGAGGGAGGCAGAAAGGGGGAAGGGGCCACGGAAACTCATCGGATCGCGTTGCAGCTCGGACGTGAAATTGCTTTGTCAACCGTCTGGAGACCCTTTCGAAGGGACAGCTGGACTCGAGACGATCGTTTCGCGCGGCCACGCGACCAAACGATCCTCGCCATTTCGACGCGTCCATGTTCTTCTTCGTCTTTCTCCACGTGAACGAAAGGAGGAGTCCCATCTCCAATTGGGATATTAAGGATTGTTCCTTCGTGAAAGTTATCATCTTCCGACCGATCGCCTCCAACAGTTTCATTTTCCAATTTTTCTTTACGAGACGAGACGAGAAATTCGTGTAAAAGAAATCTTTCGAATTTTCGAAAATTCGAACGACGGGTTTGCCGGCTACGAGAAACCCCTTCGAGGATCTTGTCATCACGGATGACTGGAGATTATTGAAAGAATATCGAGCTTCTTTGGAAGATAATTCATAGATTAGCGAATAAGTAGGTCCAGCCAAGAGACGAAACTACTCTTCTATTTCCATACGAAAAAACCCTCTGCCTCCTCGTTTCTCGTAAGAGATTCTTAAGGAATTTTTTTTTCTTTCTCTAAACCACTCGATCGACGAAAGATCCGAGAAAATGATGCAATTCTCTTTCCAATCTCTTAATGCGCATTCTCGTTGCTTGATTTCGAGCCAACGAACGAGAAGAGATTCCTGGGGTCTAAGATGCGAAGAAACAAACCAAACAATTCAGACCGAACAAGACGCTGAAGATCCATCCCCCTATCCATCCACCCATCCATGCATATCCCGCGCATCTTATCGAGTGGTGGTAAAGACCCAGCGAAGGATTTCCATAAGTATTCGTCAAAGGGAGCCTCCTCCCGTCAGCGAGTCGAGTCTTTTCTTAGAGCAGCTCGCGGCGTGATCCTGCGGGACTCTTTGATCTGCCATTCTGTCTCTCGAGCAAGATGACTGGCAGCGCCACCTCTTCCACCCGCCCACGAGCTTATGAATTATCTCGCAGCGAGATATTTTCCCTCCCCCACTGTTGAAAGGTCGCGCTTCCATCCCCACTGCAGCTCTCCGCGCTTTCCTTCACTTCGCTTTACTTTAACGGATCGGATCTAGGAATCGGGCACGCGCGGATCCTGTTTATCGTCCCTCCCTTTGAGGGATCAACTCAGGGTGGAATTAGAGCCGGGTCTTCTCTGATCCTGTTACCCGCGGAGAATCGACGGTTAAACGTGTTTACGGAGTTGGAAGGATTTTATAATAATCCACCTTGGGACCGGTGTAACCGGTGTATGGTTTCTTGGTGGAGGAGAGAGGTTTGGAGGAGGGATAGGAGGGGAGGGGGGAGGTTCCTTTTTTTTTCTTGGGATCTACGGTGGAATTTTATGGATGGAGCAGCGGTTGAGAGTCGGGATTTAATTTTGGCGTTCATTTAATCGTGATTTTTTTTGTTTATGTGTAATAAATAAGGATGATTTTCTGTTTTATTTTGTATAACGAGAGGAGGGAGGAGGAGCGTTTTTTAATTGTTAATTAGCGTCGAGTAAGATTTGAGTAAGTTGTTAAAAGTTGAATCGTGGATTTTTCTTCATTGTTTCAGAGGGGTAGCGACGAGCTTTTGTCGCAAAGCGGAGCAGTTAGCAATGGTGCTGCAATGAGTCCACAACCACATCACGCGGCCGATAACAACAATGACGCCAAGAAGGTAAGTGATATGATCAATATTCGTTCATCGAATATTGCCTCGTTAATCCGATTTTTACGGATTACGGATTCTACGAAGATCCTTGCTTTCTTCTAAAACAGAAATTATTTCTCAAGGATCGCTTTACCGAAAAAAATTCTCTAAAAATTCCTTCTTTTCCAGCAAAAGTTAAATGACTCCAATGACAATAATTCTCTTTTAAATTTAAGAGAACGAAAATCGTTTCTTTTACAATTACAAAATATTCCCAAATTAAAAATTAAATTCCTTCAAAAAATCATTCGAATTTTCATTTCCTCTTTTCACCTTCGAACAAGAAAGCAAGCTAGGTCCGATGGAAATTTGCAGATGCATTTGAAATCGGAGCGGAGAGGTGGCAGATCCTCTGACCATCCGCTCGATCCTTCGTTCTTCGGTGAAAAAATTTCGTTAAAACGACGAAAAACTCGCCAAAGCGAGCGGATCACTTTTTCCTCGCGCGGTCAATTATTTTTCAGATTCGTTCTTTTTTCATTAAGTTTAATTATTCCCAACATGGTTGATCCGGGAAACTTTATGATATGACACCATCAAAGGCGATTTGCTTTGAGATGAAGAGAAAGAATTTGTTAAAAAAAAAAAAAAAAAAATGGAAGCAATTATTGAACGCTTTATCTTGCGATTGTATCCGAATTTTTATCGCAAAAGAATCTTTCACCACTCCATGAATGTGGATCGTTGTAACGATTTTAAAAAGATTAAAAAAAAAAAATATGATTTAATTCAAGTTTTAAAGAAAAATATTTTTCGACAGGGAATTAAAATAATTTCTAATTTGTATTTCGTATTTCTTTCCATCTACATTGTTTTGTTTGATCGCGATAAATGGAAGTAAATAATGACAGTCGATATTTTATTCAAAATTCAATCAAACGGAATATTTCAAATATTAATTAAACAATGTTTGAAAAAAGATATTTTTCAACACTAATATTTTATGATATCTCTAAATACAATTTACGATCTATGGTACGATTTGACCGTGGCAAAATTCGTCCCTGATAAAAGGTAAACCAAAGTGTAAAAAGGACTGCTTCATTCGTTTCACGGAAAACACGTCGTACGAAAATTCCTACGATCCCTCCTCCCCTGAAAGCTGAAAATACGACAGGATTAACCAATCGTTCCGTGTCTCTGTCGAAAAATCGTATCTATTTTTCACTGTCCCCTCTGGAAATTTCCAACTATGACAGCTTAGCAAAAAAAATATCACTCGTCGGTCATACCCCTGTTTCAACGATGTACCAATTTCTGTTTTTACACACACGCGTGTGCGGCCGGGGCGTGTAGGTGAAAAATGGCATGAAATTGGCATATTTAACAGAAATTAACGGGGTGAACCGCGGCTAAGCAGTTAAAACGTTCATCCTGTGTCAGCCGCAAAAACTGATAACAAATTGTCTCGGGTCGAGGGAAAATTAATCGAGCACACCTGTTGTTACCCTCACCGATATTAATTACATATATCCTTGACAAACTTTTTCCAAGACGAAATCGAGAGACTGACACCTCGACCCATGCGATAATTTTCTCCCCTCTAATTGTTCGAAACGAACACGCATTTAAATTAAAAATTAAAAACGATCGAATCCATCTAAGAAATATCTTAATCAGTTTTATAGGAAAGGAACACGCGAGAAACATTCTGAGACGCATCAGTTTATATTCATTACGTGTATTTTGGACGATTGGTCGTTCGATACGTAAATCGTAACAATTTTTCAAGATAGAAAAATAAATGGACAAAATGGTGATATACAATTCGGAATATGTCAATAAAATGTTATACACGTGCGTTTGAAAATCAATGGATTTAGTATTTTATATTATGTCCAAATTATTTTGCATTATCTCTAATTTAATTTGCACGTTTTAACATTTATATAAATTGATATCCCCCGGTAATTCGCTAAATTTATAATTGTTCTCCGGCCAATCAGATATCAATTGTGAATTTCCCATTTGAAAATGCGATATTAACTGCGTTTGATGTAAATCAGTAACTCGCTGATACGATTAATAATACGATTAAATTTCTGGATGAACACTTGCTACGATATGGATTTAAAAAAAACACACACACACAAAAATTACAAATAAAAATTAACAACAACGAATCAACGAACCCAAAATATATAATAAAATAATTAGAAATACTTAAGAAACGCTTGGTTCATCGTTTCATTTCGAAGAATCTGAAGATCCAAATTGACGTTCTTCCGCCGCATCTTCGACTCACGCGTATCCGCATGTATAAAAGTTCTTTTCAAAATTTCGATTTTCTTCAACTTCTGGAATGGATCTCTCGTCGTTCGTATCCAATTTTTCGTAG